CTGCAGAGGAAATAGTGAAAACCCCCAAAATGCACCTGGGTGATTGTGCAACACTATCAATGTGGGGTGAACTTCTCCACCCATCAACTTGAGCCTCGACACTTGAGGTTTGAACACCCTTGTTAATGTTCCTCTAGCGGGGGTTGTTGCTCATGCTCTTCTTGTTCATGGAAGTCTCAATTCCTTATGCAAAAAGAAAAGGAGGACTTGTGGCACCTTAGAGACTAACCAATTTATTTGAGCATAAGCTTTAGTGAGCTGCAGCTCACTTCATCTGTATGTTCCACAGTATGCATCCGATGAAATGAGTGTAGCTCACTAAGCTTATGCTCAAATAAATTGGTTGTCTCTATCCACAAGTACTCCTTTCTTTTTGCGAATACAGACTAACACGGCTGTTCCTCTGAAACCTGTCATTGTAAGGAGAGTGATCACTTTAGATAAGCTAAAAGAAAGGAGTACCTGTGGGATCTTAGAGACTAACCAATTTATTTGAGCATAAGCTTTTAGATAAGCTATTACCAACAGAAGAGTGGGGTTTTTTGGGGGGGGGGGATGTTGTGTGGGGGGGGGAAACCTGGATTTTTGCTGGAAATGGCCCACCTTGATTATCATACACATTGTAAGGAGAGTGATCACTTTAGATAAGCTATTACCAGCAGAAGAGTGGGGTGGGGGGAGAAAACCTTTTGTAGTGATAATCACCCATTTTTTCATGGTTTGTGTGTATAAAAATGTCTTCTGTATTTTCCACAGTATGCATCCAGAAGACATTTTTATACACACAAACCATGAAAAAATGGGTGATTATCACTACAAAAGGTTTTCTCTCCCCCCACCCCACTCTCCTGCTGGTAATAGCTTATCTAAAGTGATCACTCTCCTTACAATGTGTATGATAATCAAGGTGGGCCATTTCCAGCAAAAATCCAGGTTTTCCCCCCCCCACAACATCCCCCCCCCCCCAAAAACCCCACTCTTCTGTTGGTAATAGCTTATCTAAAAGCTTATGCTCAAATAAATTGGTTAGTCTCTAAGGTCCCACAGGTACTCCTTTTCTTTTAGCTTATCTAAAGTGATCACTCTCCTTACAATGACAGGTTTCAGAGGAACAGCCGTGTTAGTCTGTATTCGCAAAAAGAAAAGGAGTACTTGTGGCACCTTAGAGACTAACCAATTTATTATTATTATTAAAAGAATAAATAATAATAATAATAATAATTGGTTAGTCTCTAAGGTGCCACAAGTACTCCTTTTCTTTTTGCGAATACAGACTAACACGGCTGTTCCTCTGAAACCTGTCATTATGCAAGGCACTGCATTTAGCCGTATGGAGTGGAAATCTATCAACTGCATGAATAATTGGTTAGTCTCTAAGGTGCCACAAGTACTCCTTTTCTCCTTACAATGTGTATTATAATCAAGGTGGGCCATTTCCAGCACAAATCCAAGGTTTAACAAGAACGTCTGAGGAAGGTGGGGGGGGGGGGGAATTGGTTAGGAAAACAAGGGGAAATAGGTTACCTTGCATAATGACTTAGCCACTCCCAGTCTCTATTCAAGCCTAAGTTAATTGTATCCAATTTGCAAATTAATTCCAATTCAGCAGTCTCTCGCTGTAGTCTGGATTTGAAGTTTTTCTGTTGTAATATTGCAACTTTCATGTCTGTAATCGCGTGACCAGAGAGATTGAAGTGTTCTCCGACTGGTTTATGAATGTTATAATTCTTGACATCTGATTTTGTGTCCATTTATTCTTTTACGTAGAGACTCTCCAGTTTGACCAATGTAATGGCAGAGAGGCATTGCTGGCACATGATGGCATATATCACATTGGTAGATGTGCAGGTGAACGAGTCTCTGATAGTGTGGCTGATGTTATTAGGCCCTGTGATGGTGTCCCCTGAATAGATATGTGGGCACAGTTGGCAACGGGCTTTGTTGCAAGGATAGATTGATTAAAGCCAGAAGAGTTCCCAGAAGTCACCTACTACAGGACAGGCCTAACAAAGAAAATAACAGAACGCCACTAGCCGTCACCTTCAGCCCCCAACTAAAACCCCTCCAACACATTATCAAGGATCTACAACCTATCCTGAAGGATGACCCAACACTCTCACAAATCTTGGGAGACAGGCCAGTCGTTGCCTACAGACAGCCCCCCAACCTGAAGCGAATACTCACCAGCAACCACATACCACACAACAGAACCACTAACCCAGGAACCTTGGTTTGTGTGTATAAAAACGTCTTCTGTATTTTCCACAGTATGCATCCAATGGAGTGAGCTGTAGCTCACGAAAGCTTATGCTCAAATAAATTGGTTAGTCTCTAAGGTGCCACAAGTACTCCTTTTCTTTTTGCAAATACAGACTAACACGGCTGTTACTCTGAAACCTGTCAATTCCTTATGAGTCTTGCTAAGATACTTCCCTGAATAGTACCTTGCAGCTCCGAGTTCCACCGGTTGATTATGAGTTGTGCAAAGAAGGTTATGAGCTACAAACCAACTAGGCACTGTCAACGTTAGAGACTGCAGAGATGTTAGTGACAATTGTGTTTAAATACCTCATGGTTTCTATGACAGTTGGGATCTGTGCTGGCCAAACCATGCTACAAGATTATCCTGCACTGGAGTGTAACACTGCGTTTGTGTTTTGGGGGGAACCAGAGTGCGGGGGGGGGGGCATACTGATCAGGCAGACTGTAATGGAAGCCCAAATCACAACAGGTATCGACCCTAAATATGTGCCATCTAAACTTTTTAGTCCATGGAAAAAGCGTTTTGACCAAAACGAAATGTTCACGATAAATAAAGAAATCCATAAATCATTTTGGCCTAAATATTTTGGTTTTTGACCAAAAAAAAAAAAAATTAAAGAATTGTCGTTAAAAATATTTTGAATGTCATTGAATTTTTTTTAATGAAACAACCTCCCTCTCCCCCCCCAATATACTCATCGTTTTACAAAGTGTAAACAAGGTTATAGCAGGCATGGCTTTAGCCTTACCGGAGACAGAGCTGCAAGGCTCTGTGCGGAATACATTGCTTTGGGAGGAATACCTCTTGCGCCGTTCTTTTGCCCAGGTTCCCTATGCTTGGATGGGCTGTTGACCCTTATTCCCACCACCATGTGTGTAAGTAATAAGAGGTGTCAAGAAGCACAAGAGATGAAAGGTGGGCCCTAGCGCTATTGTGTAAAGAATGCTGATGGAAAAACTGACGGCCGGGAAGTTAATGAAAAACAGGCCCAGGGAACTGTAGCTTATCAGCCAAGAAATTCTATACAGTCCAAAGTCTGTAGTGCTTGCCAGATTTCTGTGGTATTCATTAAAAACGTGCAGCAACCGGGCTAGCCTCTGTGTTACCCCTTGGGAAAGTGGCATAGGCATTAATTTAGGGTGGATGAGGTTTGCACCCCCTTAAAGAAAACCATACCCATCCATTGCTCTTGTGTGGTGACGCGGAGTGTGTGTGGGGCCTGGGAACCAGGAGACCAAGCCTGGATTCTCATCCGAACAATCCCACATTGACTCTGGGTGTAATGCTACCCAAATCACTTAAGCTAGCATTTTCAAAGGTGGCCTGTAATTTTGGATTACTCTCGTCTCAGACAGATGGGGCTTGATTTTTAAAGCGGCCGAGCACTCTCAGTCCTAGCTGATGCCTGATATTTGCTCCTGTTCTTTTCACCGCCTCTTGTTTCACAGTCTCTTCAGTTCAGCATCACTCCAAACCTGCCCTTCTCACCCCACTTCCCTTCCCTTTTTGCTGATCCCCCTCCTCACTAAGTCCACCCCAAAAAACAAAAAAATTGTGGCACTAACATGATGTTTGTTGCCATCACATTGTTGGCTTGGCTGGTGTGTTCTACCCCTTCCCCCACCTTGGGTCTATTTAATTGCAAGCTTTATCGAGGACCGTCAACCACTCTTTGTTTGTCCAGTGCCTGGCACCAGGGGCTCCAGTCTTGGCTGGCCCTTAGGCACTGCCATAAAAACATGATTAATAATTTTTTTATAGCCAGGCAGTACATGAGGTGCTGCTTGGGGAGGAAGAGAGGCAACACAACTTTGCTGTGCAGTGGAATGAGGAGGTGGCCATACTGGCAGATGGTGAGAGCAGGTCGGGAAATAGCCCCTGGGTCCCCTTTGTGACAGTGGTGGGCACTTCTAATTAGTATAGTCCGATAACCCTTTAGGACCTGGGCTATTTGCATGTGCTAATTGAAGCCGGTTCAGAGGGCTGTTAAGAAGAATGGACTTGTGGGTAAAGCACAGGACTAGGTGTTAGAAGACTTAGCTTCTCAGTCTGGCTCTGCCACAGACTCTCTGTGCCACCTTGAGCCAGTCACTCAGCCTTTGTGCCTCGGTTTCTCTGTTTCTAGCATGAAGAGTGTGTGTCATGGGGGTGCAGAGGCTAAATATAATGCGGGTGAAGCATTCGAGAGCCATGGATGGAAGGTGCCCACGATGTGCGGAGTATTGTTATTTTTTTCTTATTTCAAGAGGAGTGTGATGTTTTTTCACTGAAAGGGGAAATCAGGAGTTCCTTCTCCAGTTCATGTGCCTAGCAGCCCTTGATCAGGGGGTTATTCTGTATGGAGCGTTTTGTACAACCCCCCATTCCCCTTCTCCACATCTTTACACTTCAGGCAAACTTTTCAAAAGCTCCTAAGTCGTCACCTTGGAGCATGAGTCCTATTTTCAAAAGGGATTTAGGCACCTAGGAGCCTAAATCCCATTGACTTTCAATTAAACTTAAGTTCCTAAGTGACTTAGGAGCTTTCGAAACATTTGCCTTTAATCTTTAAAATCTATTCTGGCTCTCCTTTGCCTTCGGCGTGTAGGGCCTTCTGTCTGGTAGGGACAGCCTGTGGTTTGCATCACGCATTTGTTCCTTGCGCTCTCAGCAAAATGTCTGTCTTTTTAAAATGACAGTATAAAAAGGAGAGAACTCCAGAGCTTGGCTCATCTGGAAATTATCTTGATTTTAACAGAATGGAGGCCTCCTGCCTCGAACTAGCCCTCGAAGGAGAGCGCCTGTGCAAAGCTGGGGACTTCAAGGCTGGAGCAGCCTTCTTCGAAGCAGCAGTGCAGGTGGGGACAGAGGATTTGAAGACTCTCAGCGCAATCTACAGCCAGCTGGGCAATGCCTACTTCTACCTAAAGGAATATTCCAAGGCCCTGGAATACCATAAACATGACCTCACTCTAGCCAGGTAAGCATGCCTGCGAACGCGATCAGTCAGGGCTCGAGGTAAGGCAAGATCCCTGGGATCCCAGGCCAGCAGCCTGAGGGAACCGGTCACTGCAATTGAGAACAGACCTGGGGCACCAGGGGGGTGACTGTCTGGAGAGAATCAAGAAGCTAGGGAGGAAGGGTCTGCCCGGGGTATGGGATTGTGAGGAAGAGGAAAGAGTCTGAAAGTGGCAGACGTTTGCAAGCCCATCTGCTTTGTGTGTGCAAAGAGGTAACGCTGACTTACACGCCCATGCAGCGGGTTTTTGTCAGCTGAAACCACACCTTTTGAAGGGTAGTGAAGCAGGCCTGCTGAAAATGTGGCCTCAAGACCCATTTAATAGAGGGGGCACCTTTAAAAATGGGACAATTCTCCGCCTGCAGTCGGTTAGATTTACTGTAATATCTGAGACTCTCTGCAGAGAACGTAGCACCAATGTGGTGGCCCAGGTGAGCAGCATGGCGTGGCATTTGTCCCTGCATGACTTGCACTCCCTGCAGGGCAGCTTCAGAACCTGGCTGCCTCCAGACACTGGTATAAAACCAGTAACTAGACTGGGCTGGGCTAGTGGAAGTGCCATGCGGTGTGGCTGCATGTAATCCCCTGGTGCACCAGTCCCCAGGGGCTGGGAGTTGTGTGGAGGCAACAGTATACTCGGTTCCTGGAAAAGAAGGCAAACTCTGATCGAGCAGAACTGATAGGCCATCTGGGGCATTGTGTCCTATCCTCTCCAGCTGAAAGGACCGTAAGTGGGGAGGGGGAGCTTCCGGTCTGGGAGTGGGGGCCTGGTAAATAGAACTTTGACTTTCCATCCTGGATTTAGACAACTGCCAGACGGAAAGCAAAAATCTGTCTCCAAGACTAAAGGAGCTTTCTCCTTCTGTTTGCACATGTTGCCTGCAGGCTAGGAGCGGATCGGTTTAGTGCCTACTCCTGCTACAGGCTTAAGTATCAGCATGATTGAATTCTGCCTGCTGAGTCCCAGCATTTATAACAGCCCTTTCCCTGCCTCCGGTCATCTTGTAGAACCATTGGGGACCGTATCGGAGAAGCCAAGGCCAGTGGCAACCTTGGGAATACATTGAAAATACTTGGGCAGTTTGATGAAGCTATCGTTTGTTGCCAGAGACACTTGGAGATTTCCCAAGAGCAGGGAGACAAGGTACTTGATCCATGATGCCCCACAGGAAATATTCCCTGGCTTTTGAAAGATTCCTCCTGCCAGCCAACAATCAGGACAGCATTGAAGCTGGCTCTGGAAGGAGACTGACCATATCACCAACCCTTTCAGCTACAGATCTGATGCCAGGGCAGCTAGTGGATGAAAATGTGGGCAGGCCATCCCCGGAATGAAGACCCCAAAATACCCAGGAAGCAATGGATTCCCCAAAAAAGAGAAAATTGAACCCAAATAAATAGAGATTCATAGTCCTTGAGTTCACAGAATGGGGCCAAGCAAAGAACTCCAGGTTGGCTCTTGGAAATCCATTGTACAGTTAGGGAAAGGGATTCTTCCCAGTCTGTCTCTCTGACACATGCTGTTTGGAGGCCAATATGAAATGAACTGGGTGTCTCTCAGCCCCATTCCTGCTGGACAAGCATCCACGCCTCTCTCTCTCGCGCACACACAAATCCCACCATGCTTGGGAGCATTGAGCTGGCAGTTACACTGACTGGCCTCTCTGGTGAATGAGTCATGGGGGCTGAATTCTCCCTCTGCGTCCACAGGAGATTGGCAAGCAGCATTGTGGGATAGCTGCCTGTGCTGGGCTTGTTATAGGTATAGATAGGAGTCTCCATGGTCCCCATCCACAAGGGGCTGGACTGAAACCATCCCTTGCACATAGGCCACCAAGCAGCCATTGGATGAGGACTTGAGGTTAGTACTGGTTTCTCTTCAGAGCAGTTTATCCTAGTGGACAGAGCATTAGACTGGGACTCAGGAGAACTGGGTTCTGTTCCCCACTCTTCCACTGGCATGCTGGGTGGCCTTGGACAAGTCACTTTCCTGATCTGTGCCTCAGTTTCCCCATCTGTAAAAGCGGGAGAATGAGAGTGATCTCCTTTGTAAAGTGCTTTGAGGTCTACTGATGAAAAGCACTAGGTAAGAGCTAGGGATCATTGACCTGGGCTGGCTTTGAACTGGCGACCTAAAGGTGGCAGGTTCTACATCCTTTTAAACAGTCCCTGGATTCATCCAGTCCCCCAGACTCCGCTTCTAAAATGAAGCTGTAATGGTCTGCAAGGCTGCCCTGGCTTTTGGTTAGCTGCCCTTTGCCCAGAGACGGGAAGCTTGGCATTGCAATGTGGAGTGTAACACCTGCTCTTCTGTGATTCTGCCCCCCTTTCCAGGTAGGTGAAGCTAGAGCGCTGTATAACATTGGCAATGTTTATCATGCAAAGGGAAAGCAGTTGTCTTGGAGCACAGCCCAAGACCCAGGTTCCCTGCCTCAAGAAGTCAAGGAGACGCTTCAGAGAGCTTCGGAATACTATGAGTAAGTACCCACCCTTCCCAGGTCTGCAGGGGATGGGGCTGCACAGACAGCCCCATTGTGGTCGGCAGTAATTTACCCGGCTACAATCATGCATGTGGCAAACTTGCAAAGCGTCTGGCGCACTCTCAGTGCTCAGTGATGAGTGCATCATTCCAGCGCTGTCTGTGTGTGTCTTGTTACTGTCCTGATGACAGCTCTGGAGAGCTGCAGAAGTGTGGTGATGAACGTCAGGTGAAAGATAACAGCACTGGGCTTGTGACAAGTGATTTTTCACACAGCCTTCTCTAAAGCACTCCACTTAGAAGGTGACTGGGTCTCGCCTGACTAAAGGAGCTGGGGGCGGATTTGGCTGAGATTTTGGGCAGGGGAGCGCTGTGCATTGCTCCCCTGTGATCCCCACATCAACCCACCCCTTGTGGCTGACCCAAGGACCACCTTGCCTGCCTGTAGAGGGGCCTGTGTGCTCACCTCTTTGGCAGGGTGGGGCACACCCATAGAATCATAGAAATCATAGAATATCAGGGTTGGAAGGGACCTCAGGAGGTCATCTAGTCCAACCCCCTGCTCAATGCAGGACCAATCCCCAAATTTTGCCCCAGATCCCTAAATGGCCCCCTCAAGGATTGAACTCACAAGCCTGGGTTTAGCAGGCCAATGCTCAAACCACTGAGCCATCCCTCCCCCCTATGGGCTGTTGAGAGGAGAATAAAGGCAGAAAGTGGGGGGAGTGGGAAGCAGGGAGGAAAGTAAAAGTTGATGACATTTTAAGGCCAGAAATTAGGCTCATCTAGTCTGACTTTCTGCGTAACACAGGCCAGAGACCCTCACCCAGTGCCTCCTGGAAAAGACCTCTCTTCCCCTGCACTAAACATGAACTGAACCAAAGGGGAACTTAGATACCAGGACCTGAGATTGGAGATCATTCTCCTGCGGCTGGCAGTGGCATTGGATACCTCTACCAGTTCAAAGCGTTGCATCCCTCGGCCTGCCTGAGGTGCTGGCGATATTGTGGGATTGGGCAGAAGAGAGACTCTACTCTTGGCAGGCCATCAGAGGAGGAATTGGCTTTTTGGCTGCTTTGAAATGTATTTATTGATAGTTTTTAAATGGCAAGGCAGGAGACAGACACTTCTGGTTAGTGGAGAGGGCCTGGGAGCCAGGACTTCTAGGCTTCTTCCGGGTTGTGTGTGAGAACTTAAGCAAGTCTCTTTTGGCCTGATATTCCATGATATTGAGAACCTACAGGAAGTCTTTGGGGGCTCGGCACCTCTAAAAATCAGGCCATTGGCCTCTCTGCCTCAGTTTCCACATTGTGTAAAACTTCATTAAACATTTCAATGCGGTGTTGTAGCTGTGTCAGGCAGACGCAGGCTATTAGAGAGACAAGGTGAGGGAGGGAATATCTTTTATTGGACAAACTTCTGTTGGAGAGAAATGAGTTTTTGAACTTGAAAAGCTGCTCTCTCTCCAACAGAAGTTGGTCCAATAAAAGAGATTCTCTCACCCACCTTGTCTCTTAAATATCTCAAAGCATTTTGAGAGCCTTTGATGAAAGGCTCTGTATAATTGCAAAGTGTTGATAATCATATACTGCTACATTAGACTTTGCCAAGGATCTGAAATCCTAAATAGCTCTATTTTATATTGTGGAGCAGGCTCAGTTCCCCTTTAAGAATGTGCAGTGCCTGTAACCCCTGTGTGTTTATTCCCCTGCCACATACTGTAAGGAGATAAATGGAGATATAGCTAGAGATCTGACTGATGGTACGTCAAACTGCAGTCCCCTGCTCCAGTCTGAGTGAGCTCAAATACAAGATGGCTGAAATAATGTAGTACAGCAAGGGGATCGTATAAAGCATGTGGGATAAGCGAAGTGAAAGGAGGAGTAGAGTGCTGTGCATAGAGAGTTTGTGATGATCTGTAATGAACGAAGCATTAGTGAACAATTGCATTATGGTCCCTAGATTTTGTGTCTGTTCCTTTTACTATGGGGACTGGGGATATTATAGTGTGGTACAATTTCAGTGCCTAGAATTGGAAAAGGAAACACCTTGCACATTTTTGCAGAGGGTTTATGCTTTTCTCTTTCCCTGGAAAGATAAAGGGGAACAGGAATGTTTGTTCTGTGGGTGGGATCAGCTGGGTCTGGTTCAGCAGCTGTGGATTAAAGGGACCCAAATGCTGTACATACTGTTATGCAGATCGGCTTAGAGAAGCAGCAGAATAAGCTGCTTTGTCCCATCTGGCAGCTGCGTGGGAATGACCAGAGATGCAGAAACATTGCGCTCAGCAGATGAAAAGCTGGACCAGAGCTGATCTCATCTGCCAGAGTCAGATGTCACTTGTCTGTGCTCCGATCCTTATCTTAATCGAGCCAGAATAATCAGTGGGGATGGTGCTTCCTGGCAGTTCATATAATTTTGACCAACGGGTGCTTTGCTGGGGGTCTCTGGGGGTGGGAATGGGATTCTCTACAAGGAGGGATGAGGAAAGACTGCAGGCTTTTTTAATTAAAAAGAATAAAACAAAACTCTTTCAGAGAGTTGTAAACTAAGCTTCTGAGCTTACCTGTCTTGAGTATAGCTCAGAATAGGTCAAACAGTAACACATGCAGTTAAATTCAATCCCTGAGCATCTGCTTTGATGCCACAATGTTCGACAAAGTATGATAATTTGGAAGGGGGGAAATGTACTCACAAACTCACTTGTGTGCATACCACTGCCCTCTACTGGATAGAATTAGAACTCTTCAACTTTGTATCATTGGCCCTATACTGCAATAGCTAATACAGATCGCCTCTAGTTCAAGTGGTCAGGGCCTGCATTTCTGCAGAAGGAGTTTCCTGTTCTGTCACCATGAAGTTCAGAGGCATTGCAGCATGTCCCACAGTAACAACTCTGCCTTTTCCAAATGGCTGTAGATGTTTTTGCTATGGCATATGCTGGAACGCTGTCACTAGGCTTATTTAGAGCTATCTGCAAGGTTTCTCCCCTTTGATTTTAACTTCAGTTAAGGAAATGGGTTTTTAAAAATAACCTTTTTTGTCTGAAAGGGAGAGGCGAGCATCTCCCTTAAATCAGTCTCCTCGTCTCTGCAGAGATGATAGCACCTCGATATAGCTCCCCCTCCTTTTGTCAAAGGAGCAGTGCATGTTGAGCATCTACAGGGTGAACGCGTGCCAGCCTGAAGCGTCCAGGGTGCTCTGAATGTGCTGAGCAGATGCTGTAGAGGGTTTGACTGTGCCTGTTGTTGCAGAGTTGCATCCAGTCATGCTCGTCTCAGATGCATCCCAGCTGCCAGCGCTGAGAAGGCAGGGAGAAGAATAGCTCAGAGCTCCTGGCCCTTCCCGCTTTTTTTTCCCCTGTTTCTCTTTCTTCTTCCTGACTTCATCAACGTTGAATAAGAATCATAACATCGAACTTATTCTGGTTCTTTTCATGCATAGGTTTCAAAGCGCTGTACAAATGAGAGATGTGTCATTATCCCCATTTTACAGATGGGGAAACAGAGGCAAAGCATGACTCCCAGGGACCATCCCCTGAAATAGATGCTGTACTTGAAAGCTGAAAATAACGCTCTCTCCTTGGCTTTTTCCTTGAAATAACTCTGGGCATGAAGGTATCTGCTCTTCTGGCTGAGCAGGGCAGTTGTGTGTAAGGAGAGATGGTTAGAATAAGGGACACTGAGGCAGCACCAGTGGTAATGCATTGAGTTCCCAGCTCTGCCACTGGCCTGCTAGGTGACCTTGGGCAAGTAACGCTCCCTTCCTGTGCCTCAGTTTCCCCATATGTAAAGTGGGGGTAATGACACTGTTCTCCCTTTGTAAAGAGCTGCGATTTCTTAGCAGATCTGAAGGTGTTTCGACACCCAGGCAGCTGCTGCAAATCAACTGAAGTTGAGGGAGCGGTGCTGGTTTGGGCCAGCTAAGGGTCTGGCCTGTGTGAAATGCTAAGTGTCCCAAGGTGGAATCTCTCGCTTGTGTCTGAAGGCGTAAAAGCGCCATTCTACCCAGCGATTAAAGGTGATTGAAATGGGAGGGGGAGCTCTCGCCACATCAGGCGAGGAAGAGGGGCAGATCATCGCATCATAGAAGATTAGGACTGGAAGAGACCTCAGGAGGTCATCTAGTCCAACGCCCTGCTCAAAGCAGGACCAACCCCAACTAAATCATCCCAGCCAGGGCTTTGTCAAGCCGGGCCTTAAAAACCTCTTAGGGATGGAGATTCCACCACCTCCCTAGGGAACCCATTCCAGTGCTTCATCCTCCTCCTAGTGAAATAGTGTTTCCTAATATCCAACCTAGACATCCCCCACTGCAACTTGAGACCATTGTTCTACGAGGGGAGCTGTTTACGCAGGCCCGGGAGAGCTGTGTCCCCTCAGAGCCCCTTACTTTGACCCTGGGCTCTCTGTATCTCATGTTAAGGTCAATAGGAGCTGGATGCCCGTTGGCTGAGTGAGCAGATGGGCTGCTCTGATTTTTTGCAGGAGGAATCTGTCTCTGGTAAAGGAGCTCGGGGACCGAGCTGCTCAGGGCCGAGCCTATGGGAACCTCGGCAACACCCAGTACTTGCTCGGCAACTTCAGCGAAGCCACAGCTTTCCACAAAGAGGTAAGGAGGGTGTCGATCATTCTCATGGGGCTTGGGCAATCCAGTCGCTTCCTCAGCCTGGCCTGCAGTAGGGAACTAGACATTGGTCCGTTAGCCCCCAGCTGCATCAAATCCTTCATCTCCCATTACAGACACCGCACACCAGATCCTGTCACCCTTCCTCAGGCTGAGTATCTCCTGACTCCACAAGGTATCCCCCCAAAGCCAGTGGGAGTAAGGCTGCCTCTGCTTGAAACAGCCGACTGTGAAGTGACTGGCACCCAGCTTTATTGCCTTACCGGGGCCCTGCTCCAGTGCGAGCAGAGAGAGCTCTCGGGCCCCATCTTTGCTGGGACATGTGCCTCGCGGCATGGAACAATTCCCCCAGGAAGGAACACGGTCAAAGGTGCGATGGGGCCAGGCTTTCCCAGCCAAAGAGTAACCTGGCCGCCAGGTGACTGGCTGGCCCCGCAGCGCCAGGCCAAGTGGCCTGAGTTAGCGTCAGTGGCGGCGGGGCCAGCATCGAGTGGGGTGGTCACACAGGCTGCTCTTAGGGGCGCAGCAGGTATCTGGCACGGGATAAGTCCCAGCAGGGTTGTGACAGCGTGGTCTTCCCCGGCGGGGCCAGAGGGCTGGAGCCAGCCAGCTGTGTTCTGCGTGGAGCCCTGTTGGAGCCTGGTAGTTTGCAAGGTGCCAGATGATTGTCGCGGGAGCACCTGATTCAGCTGAGATCAGCTGGGGGAAGCTACAGAAAGCAGGCAGGGTCCGAGAGTGGGCCCCAGCAGGCGGGGGGTCCCAGGCAGTCGGCCTGATGAAGAGCTGCCTGGAGCAGGTCAGCCTGGCAGCCTCTGCGCATGGCCTCCCCTTCCTGGGGTCGGCAGCCAGGCCTACAGCCCTGCAGTGGGGTTTGCTTGGAACCACACAGGCTGCTCCTCTGTGACCGGGGGAGGAACTGCAGAAACAGCACCTGGCCAAATGGGGTGGGAAGGAGGGGGAGGGCTTGGGACCCTGCTCCAGGCTCAATGCAAAGCCGGGGGTGCGGCAGGGCAAACACGGGAGAAGAGAGGAGAGTGGGGCAGAACCAGATAAGGGTCGAGACATGGGCCCAGCTGGAGCAGTGCAGAACCAAGGAGGGAAGGCTGAAGAGCGGGGCTGGGGCTCAGTGAGACGCAGCCAGTTGATGAGGGGAATTCACTCTGCACCCACATACCTGAGCGACGCGACAGAACCCCTCCTGGGCGTTACGGCGGAGTGATCAGCCGCGTCACTTCTCCAGCTGATTTGGGACCCCCCCCCCCCCCGCCAGCTGACCACTTAATTACACGCCTATCTATGAGCCAGCAGGATTGCTCCCGGGCTGACAGGCACACACCTCAGTGGATGGCTGGGTCTGGGCCTTGGAGAGAGGACGTCAGTTGCCAGCAGTAGCACATGCTTCCCCAACACGTTCTCACACGCCTGCCTGTGTCTCTTTCAGCGACTCGCCATCGCCAAGGAGTTTGGGGACAAAGCGGCCGAGAGGCGAGCGTACAGCAACCTGGGCAATGCACACATCTTCCTCGGCAGGTTTGACATCTCGGCTGAGTACTACAAGTAAGTGCCACAGCTGCTTGGGGAAAGCCAAGGCTGGGCTCTGGGCGCTCAGCCTTGGCAGAATGCTCAAGAGCAGCCAGGCTGAGCGAAGCTATTCCCCTGGTCTGTTGTAATGCATCCCGGGGCTTCAGACTCATGACACAAGCACTAGGTATAAGCCACCCACAGGGAACGGGAGCCGGTTCGAGGGAGTCTCGGTCTTGTCTTTCTCCAGCTGGAGCTAGGCTCCCAATTGATATGTGTGTTACATTGCCCCCTGTTGGCCACTTGTGTAACTTGTACAGATCAAAGTTGGTGCGTGTTGTTATAGTCCAAATTCTCAGATTCTCCAAAGCAGCGCTCTGCCGGGCTGGTGCTGGAAGAGCTGTACCCAAGGAGGCTACATCCCAAAAGAGCAGGGACTGCCTGCTGTGTAACAGGAGGCGTGACAAAGCCTCCAGCCTTTCTGCAGACCTCCACGTACCCAAACTTATCTCAATCGGTTCTGCTTGACAGAACCAGAAATTGGGTACCCCCCAATTTGCTTCCCTTTGTTTGCACTCACTGAAAGAACACACAAAACACCCTAGCTTCATCAGGCAGGAAAAAAAGGATTTGATACAATGGGTCTAAATTCACCCTGGTGTAAAGCACAGAAGCCAGTGGCTGCACAGGGTTGGGTTGGGAAGGTGGGGGCAGCCATCAGCAGGTCTTAGGGATGTCCACACTAGAGCTGGAGGGAAAATTTCCAGCTCGGGTAGACATACCCGCACTAGCTCCGACTGAGCAGTGCGTCACCCTGCATGTACCTTGGGTATTGGATGAGATCATACGTGGCGCTCTGCGGCTACACCGCTGTGTTTAGCTCACTCGCTCCGTCAAAGCTAGCACCGGGATGTCTACACGAGTTGGAATCCCACCTCCAGTGCTGACACACCCTTAGAATGTGGCATTCTTTGGCTTCAGATAAACTCCCTAAGGAATCTACCCTCAGCAGATCAGCATTTCTCCCTGACTTGCACGTGTGCTGTGCATGAATGTGTCTGTGTCTCCATCTGTTTATTGCAGGAAAACACTCCAACTCTCCAGACAGCTGAAAGACCAAGCAGTAGAAGCTCAGGCTTGCTACAGCCTCGGAAACACTTACACGTTGCTCCAAGACTACGAGCGAGCCATCGAGTACCATCTAAAGCACCTGCTGATAGCGCAGGAGCTGGGGGACAGGTGAGAGATTTGGGACCGCATCTGTGCCTTGTTAGTATAATGGCCTCAGCAGGGATTGAACCCAGCGTCTCTCACACTAAAAGCCTGAGCCTCTAGGGCTAAAGGACTAAGACCATTAGCTCTACAATAGTAGCAGACTCATAAACCTTTCCTATGGTCCAGCCCCTACAATGGAGTCAAAGCCCCAGCCCCAGCTGTGTTAATGTGGGTGATATCAGCTCTCTGGTGAGAATTACTAAAGGTCTGTTGTGTTCAGCCCTCTATCCCAGCTGCTACTCCTGTTTATCCGTGCAACCTCCTGGTGAGCACCCGCCGGGATGTAAAATAGCTTCTGCCTAAGGAGTAAAGTGAGCAGTGAACGAGCCCAAAAGCCCCACCGCTGTGTCCTGCTAGCAATGGAAGCTCTGAGAAGCTGCAATAAGATTCCACACTGATGTGACCAGAAATGGCATTTGGGGAAAAATGGTGTATTGCCCGGAATAGTTAGGGAAATGCATTTTACTCCATAGATAAATTATTACCAACTTGTTACTGCATCTACCTCCAGCCTTGTGTGAAGTTTTCCTGACTCCTGAGCTTTGCCATGCTGGGTCTCAAGTCTCTTGCAGGTCCTTAAGTGAATTTTCAGCCAGCTTGTTGAGGATCTCTGCAAATGACCCTCGTAAAACCTGAGCAAGATGGATATTCAGCTTCATACAGCGCAGAAGATTCAAGGGAAGGAATTGGCAAATGACTAGAAGAAATGAGCATTGCAAAATGGAGAAGGAAGTATCCAGCTGGGAGAGCATTTGAGTTGAATGATCTGCTGTGCCATTAAAGGGGGTGGTCAAAGCACCCAAAGAGTGGACAGTGCCTTGCTTTGTGGATGTCCAATTTGAGACACCCTCTAAGGGCCTGTTTTTCCTAGTTGCTGAGCACCCACACCCCAGATGAAGTCAATGGGCACTGCAGATGCTCCACCCCTTCTGAAAATCAGGCCCAAGATGTGCATCCAAAACCAGGCCCAGTTGAATATTTGGCTGTGTATAATGAGGGTTTTCACACAAGGGGTGGAGTAGTGAACTGGGAAATCAGGACTCATGGGTTCTATTCCTGGCTCTGTCACTGATTCACTAGGATACTTGAGAGAACCACTTCACCGTGCTATGCCTCCCTTTCCTCATCAATAAAATAGGGTTACAAATACCCACCCCACAGGGGTGTTGTGAGAATGGTCTACTCTTGTGGGGCATATGGAAAGAGCCGTTCCATAGAAGAATCATAGAAGATTAGGATTGGAAGAGACCTCAGGAGGTCATCTAGTCCAACCCCCTTCTCAAAGCAGGACCGCCACCAACTAAATCATCCCAGCCAGGGCTTTGTCAAGCCAGGCCTTAAAAACTTCTAAGGATGCAGATTCCACCAGTGCTTCACCACCCTCCTAGTGAAATAGTGTTTCCTAATATCCAACCTAGACCCCCCTCACTGCAACATGAGACCATTGCTCCTTGTTCTGTCATCCGCCAACACTGAGAACAGCCGAGCTCCATCCTCTTTGGAGCCCCCCTTCAGATAGTTGAAGGCTGCTATCAAATCCCCCCTCACTCTTCTTTTCTGCAGACTAAACAAGCCCAGTTCCCTCAGCCTCTCCTCGTAAGTCATGTGCCCCAGCCCCCTGATCATTTTCGTTGCCCTCTGCTGGACTCTCCAATTTGTCCACATCCTTTCTGTAGTGGGGGGCCAAAAACTGGACGCAATACTCCAGATGCGGCCTCACCAGTGCTGAATAGAGGGGAATAATCACTTCCCTTGATCTGCTGGCAATGCTCCTACTAACGCAGCCCAATATGCCGTTAGCCTTCTTGGCAACAAGGGCACACTGCTGACTTATATCCAGCTTCTCATCCACTGTAATCCTGAGGTCCTTTTCTGCAGAACTGCTGCTTAGCCAGTAGGTCCCCAGATTCTTCTGTCCTAAGTGCAGGACTCTGCACTTGTCCTTGTTGAACCTCATCAGATTTCATTTGGCCCAATCCTCCAATTTGTTTAGGTCACTCTGGACCCTATCCCTACCCTCCAGCATATCTACCTCTCCCCGCCCCCCAGTTTAGTGTCATCTCTGAACTTGCTGAGGGTGCAATCCATCCCATCCTCCAGATCATTAATAAAGATGTTGAACAAAACCGGCCCCAGGACCAACCCCTGGCTGATACCGGCTGCCAACTAGACATTGAGCTGTTGATCACTACCCGTTGAGCCCAACAATCTAGCCAGCTTTCTATCCCTCTTATAGTCCATTAATTCAATCCATACTTTTTTAACTTGCTGGCAAGAATACTGTGGGAGACAGTATCAAAAGCTTTGCTAAAGTCCAGATGTATCATATCCACAGAGCCAGTTATTTCATCATGACTTGCCCTTGGGGAATCCATGTTGACTTTTATAGTGTTGATTTTTAAGGTTCTTGATCACCTTCCTCTCCTCCAAGTGCTTCAAAATGGTTTCCCTGAGGACCTGCTCCATGATATTTCCAGGGACTGAGGTGAGGCTGACCGGTCTGTAGAATAGAATGGATGGAGTGAGCCAGGGACTGTTTCAGGGCAGAATCTGAATGAAAAGCCTCAGATGTTCAGTGTGAGAAGCCATAGTGTTGTGTTGGTGTTGCTTTAATGTGAAGTCTAATAAGTGAGCGTCCTCAGAGGGTACAACTGTCCCCCCAGGGGAGACCCGCTGTCACTGGGGTCATCTGACGGGGAGACCCTTCAGGCTGTGGGATGGTCTCTCTATGGAAGTGGTGGGATGCCATAGCTGGAGACGAGACCAAGCGCTTGAATGGGATGGGAATGGGAAAGAACAGCTCTGCTCGGGGAGGGAGAGGAATGGGGGGCATGTCTACAGGAGCTGCAGTCACCACCCGTGATCGCAGTGTAGCCAAACGGTGGGTCATTTCCAGCTCTAACTTCTGAGAGTCCAGGAAAGCGAGACAGGACGAAGCGCTACAGAGCGGCACGAAGGAACAGCCTTGCTCTCCGAGGATGGACTAGGTGTGTTGAAATAGGCCTTCCTGTCTAATCAGCCTATGAAAAGACCACTCCCTGGCCCCATATAGAGCAATTTCCAAAGAGCCTTTGGGACACTCCAGTCCCCAGGGGCACTGGGTCTAAGAGCACTTGTTGTGCGGCAGCACCCTCTGGATGGAAGGAATAACCGCAAGCTTGTGCACGACTTCTATCGCCGACTGACTTTGCAGCTTTGTTCGATGGCTTTCAGCATCCCTGCTATAAAAATCCTCCCAGCGCCCCTGCTAACTCCTGCCACTAGATGGAGCATGGACATTAAAATGGAGACAGCCTGCATGTTTCTGTGCTTTTACTGTCTGATCAGAAACCCCATTGGGTGAGATGCTGGTTCCGATGGCTCCCTGGGAGATGGAGAGCGGTCTCTTTCCCAGCAGCCCCCTGGGAGTCCATCGGGCATTAAGGGGGCTGGTGAGCCTTGAGAGGGGATATTCTGCATTTAGGTTGATGCTAGTAGAAGCAGCTCAGAAGCAAAACCTAGGGAACAGGTTTTTATCAAACACACGCTGGACTTCCCATTCCTGTGTGGAGCTGGGAGCAGTCTTTAGGGGAGGCTGGTGAGTCGTAAAGATCTTCTGGCCCCCCTGGGAGCTGGCCCTGAGGAGTGGAGAGCATGGAGGGGTTGCTTCAAAGGAAATGCTTAAACATGGGAGTGGGAAGATGATGTTTAACCCTAAAAAGTGAGTCACAATCTCCTTAAAAAAACAAAAACCCACTGAAAATTAGAAACCCTCCAATAGCCCATTCCCTGTCGGTGTCTTCCTCATGAACAGATTTAGGGGGGCTCTGTAGGCCCCCCCGCCTGCACCCCTTGAGTAGCATGGGTTCCGCTCCATGGTAGGTAATAGGCACCTGTCCTTTTACTACACATGCCATTGGGCTAGTTATGTGCTAGTGGGCAGCCTCTCTACCACTCCCTGGCTCAGTGCAGGGAGGCCTTCCCCTGCTGCTCTGACAGTCTGATGACCCTCCAGGCCTGGGGTAGAGCTCGCCTGCTTTCTCAGGTTCATGCCTGAAGTGGGGTGGACTGTGAAAAGCTGCACCCTGGGGGAGGAGGTGGTAACTGAGGTTATTGTCGGCTGCGGCAGTCTCTGTGTGTGGCCCATGGAGCCGCTCATTGAAAGGCCAGTGCCGTGTGCAGGTTGCATGTTGCTGTGTTTGATCCGTGCTACACTCCTGCTTATTCATCCCTGGCCTGTGAGCAAACGGGGCGGCTCTTGGATGCCCTGTCACTGTTGCTGTGGGAACCTGTGTGCGTAGCGAAGGGGTTAATTGCCAGGGGGTAGCTGGGGTGAGTTCAGGGACAGCAGCCTGCTGAACATCCGGTTGTGTTTGGAAGATGACGGGCACATGTGTGCTCTGCTGCATGGGGGACCCCCAGAGTGATTGCCAGTTTCCCACCCCTCTGCTCTCCAGGGGGGTGGGAGTGCTGTAGAGGCAGCTGCTCGCCCCAGGATGGGGGAAAGTCCGGCAAGGGGGGAAACTGATTGATTTGGTGACGGGAGAGAAAAAATCAAGGTGGTTTTTGAGTGATTACAACCAGTCTTAGGAAAGAGGAATTCTCAAAAGGCCATTTTATCCACAAGGCACTGAAAATAAATCCCCCTCTTGCCTGTTGACCTTGCACGCAGTGGATCAGATCTCCCGCCAGCATAAATCAATGAAGCTCTATAGCAGTCAATGGGCTACACTGATTTACCCCACTGATTATCTGGCCCAGGTTTTTTAAAGTCTAGAGCCATTTTTTTCACCAGGGTCTCTGATTTCTCTGCTCGCGTCAGCTGTCCCAGCCGGTTGCCTTTACAAAAGGGGGGGGTGCCCTCATTCTGCACAGCCAGCTTGCACGCGCGGCTTATAAGTGTGCAGCCCACTATTCGAGGTGCAGCGAGATGCCATGCAAATAGCTGCTCTGTAAGATACGGAGTGAAATCCCGACCCTATTGATATCAATGGGAGCTTTGCCATTGACTTCAATGGAACGAGGATTTCACCCATAGGCTTGATTATGTGTGCAAAAGTGGGCACAGACATCAACATGAAAACAGGGCCTTTGATGCTTCCAAGGAGCAGCCAGAAACATACAGGTTCTGAAATGGCTGTTTTTTGCTGTGTCTCACAGAACGCCTATGGATGATGATTTCCTGTTTTGCAGAGTGGGAGAAGGAAGAGCCTGCTGGAGTCTAGGAAATGCCTATGTCTCTCTCGGGAACCATGACCAAGCCCTGCGCTTTGCAAGGAAACATCTTGAAATCTCCCAAGAGGTAAGATGAACTAGTCTGGATCAGGGTGAACCAGATCTCCCTGTTGGGAAGAAGGCCTGGATTATGCTAAGACACACTGAGGGAGTTCTTCTCCAGTCTTGAAAGCTTCCATCGTGTGTGGTGCTTGTTTTTTATGTGGTATCTTTGAGAATTGCAAATCTAGGCTGGAAAAATCTCATCACGGGAGACCCGCTGACACCAGGGCTGCCTTTTAATTGTTGCTAATATAGTTACTGTACCTGGCTAACTCGGCCCTGGTTTGCAAATTGCTTTCTTGGCATGGTTTTTGGGGGGTGTTTGCCAAGGCAAAAAGGAAAGGGTGGGCCCCACTTTCCAAGCTATTCTGCACTGGTGGGCTCCAGCTGGCATGGAGGAGCCTAAATACAACGTGTCAAACCACTTAGGAGAACACCCGCATTTGAGACCTGGGCTGTGTGACTTTGGCTGAACTCAGAGAGCACGTAGCTGACTCAGAGCCCAGTCCTGTTCTGTAGAGGATCAGGGGGTCTGAAAGAGATGGGTGATGGCTTTTCTCTTCAGATGCAATGTGAGGCCACATCTCTGGGTGAGCAGAAACATTGTTTTACTCAGGGCTGGCAGTTCTCTGCGGCACCATAAGGAACATGATTGAGAAAGGGTCAGGGAACGTTTCTGTGTAAAGATGGGAAAAAATAAGAGCCATCCCCCTTGTGACCCAGGGTGCCTGGGGTAGCCCTCACTGAAAATGCCAAGGTCAGGGCAGGCTGCAAAAGGGCAAGCAGATACTCCTAAAAATGGTGATTGACTGGTGGATGAGTTTAACTTCAGTGTTACAGACTGTACTTCTGATCCCCACACTGGTCATCAAGTTAAAAAAAAAAAATCTCACATTCTAGTTCTCTGGCTCCCAGTCAGCACCTAGGTCCAGTACAGTGAGAAGTTATTTGAAAAACTCTGCCCACTATACAAAATGTTCTTCTGAACCCCACATTGCCAGGTAAATATTAAGTTGGATCTTACCCAAAATCCCACACTGCCAGACAGTCCTTTAGTGCCTAAAACTAAAGGTGTATTATAAAGAAAGAACAAGAAGAGAGTTGGTATATGATAAAGCACTCAGATACATACAGAGACTTCAAAGTTCATGTATCAGGTTCTTAGCAGTGTTGGTGAGTTTGCTGGCTTGAAAGTCCCTCTGGAACACATCCACGGCTTGGATGGGTCATTCAGTCCTTTGATGGGAGCTTTGTTTGTAGAGAAGTTACTTCAGAGGTAAGAAGCAGGACTGAAGACAAAATGGAGCTGATGCAGCTGCCTTTTATAGTCTTTTTGCCACGTGGCTTGTACTTCCTGTGTCCCAAACATAAGCTTCACAATACATGGCATGGAAAAACCTTAGCGTTCTCTGTCCACAGGCATACCACATGCCTTGCTGACTCAATAGGTGTATCCCCTGGCTCCTTTCAATTGGTTCATTGTGCAGCTGATGACTCTTGATGGGCATTGAACAGGCTAGGCAGTGCTGATGCCAATCCGTCTGGGAGTGTCACCCAGAAACACAGCACAAGTTTTGAAAAACAGACAGTTTACATATCTATAACTTACAATACAAAAGTGATACAAACATATAAACAAGATGATCATACTTGGCAAATTATAACATTTTCACAGATACCACACATGGCATATCTGGTCAGATTCCTTGCAATTTTATAGTATTGGTATCAACAGCATCATAAAGTGTCTCCCGTATTCCCTACAGCATCACACCCCTTGTGTGTCAGTGTTGTATTCTAGAACCAAACGGTTACCTTTCTCCTCCCAATCCTGGTTTTGCTCTCGCTTGGGTGCCTCTAGGTTCAGAGTTGAAGGGCCAGAATAGCCCCATGTGGCTCTTCTTACCATATTTCTGGCTTAGAAGTGCTGGGAGGCCCCCTCAGAAGCCAGTTCTCCTGAGCCTTCCACCCAGGTTTGCAGACAGAGGCTTGGCTGGGGCTGAGAAGCAAGTCAGGCCTTGGTCTGCGTTTTCAAACCGCAGCCAGACAGGTGTCACTCATCTTTTAAGGACAGCATTGGCACCTCTCGCCTCGAGTGGCTCAAACCGCTACCAAGGAAATGACTGACAAATATCATCTGCAAGCCTAAAACTGTGAGCTGTTATTTTTATGTTTATATAAAGGTGCCTCTTGGGGCACAGATAACCGAAAGGGTCAGCACAAGAGAGTTGCTAATCCAGCGGTAGCCAAAGCAATCATATAATTACCCCAGAAAACACTTTCCTCTGTCCACAAACATTGGGCACGTTCAGACCCAGGGCGAACCCCACAGAAGGCATCAGTGAAGTTTCACCACTTTGCTCTAGATCTGAATGTGGCTCATAGCCTGAAGCCCAAGGCAGTTGGGTTTTTGACATGTTGCTTTTCCTATATATATTATCGAGCTAGCTACCCGAGTCCAAACCCCAGAGCCACATTTAAACGTGTTCAAACCTCGCTTATATTGATTTAGCTCAAATCAATACAAGTGAGGGCTAATCCAGTTTAAGCGTCTCCATTAGGGTTTTGCACTGGTGTAACTAGATCAGTTTTAAGCGATCTAACTATATGGATGCAACTTTTCTGATCTAGACAAAGCCAAAGGCTTTTCAGGTGGCTTAGAAATCTAGACAGCAAACGTGCTTTGTTGTTTACCCTTTGTAGCCTGATATGCGGAAATCAGCCATGGTACCTTTAAAGCTTTCCCCAGTTGATGAAATTGCCCTTTTGAAGCATTAATTGAAACCACCATTTATAAGTGCTTTGTACATTCTCCTGCCTCTATTAGCTTGGCTAAATCTTGGGGTAGGGCTAACACACCAGCCTAATTATACACTTAATTATACTTGTCAGCCATTCAGGAGAAACACTGTTTGTTGGCCCTGTTCATTTTAGAACAAATTGACTTTTCGGCTTTGGGTTGGAGTCTTCCAGCGTGGGGCTGATTACTCACAGCCAGATGGAGGTTCAGCTGTTGGCATTGCAGATGAATGGGGATGGGAGGACAGAAACAATAGCAGCCTTGACTGCTCCTGGGGGTGGCGGGGGGAAGCCTTTGAGGATTTACAATACTGTGTTCTTTGTGGGCTGATGGCTTTGATTACAGGGCAGTGTCAGAAGGGGTTTACTCATGGCAGGTGGCTAATAAACTCCCCCATGTTGCTAAATATGGAGTGGTGCTGAAAAATCATGTCCGTTTCAGGGATACGGGGGGGAGGGCATGTATTAATTTCTAGCATTCGTCTGCTCTTAGTGAGCGAAGAGACAGATTAGGGACATAAATTGCTCCAAGATGACAGAGCAAGGGATGTAAATACAAGAAAAAATGTGGACCACGTCCCAACTTTTAGACCCTGCCCACCTTTCCATTTTTCCGTTCACAGCAAAGCGGCATCTCTGTTTTGGGAGATCCAGGGTTAGGTCAGAAATCTCTGTCCCCATATTCCCCCTTCAGGACCTATGTGTTTTGACAGGTGCCCACGAGCAGTCCACTGGCAGAATTTCTCTGTCGGATATTAATTCTTCCTTTAGGGTCATCCAAAACAAGTGGGAATCAGCTAAACATTTCGTAGAGTGTGTCTGGGACTTTAGGACCCAACCAGAACAGGATAAATTTTCTGGAGATCATCTCAACAGCAAATCTGGTGTAACCGGGAGAGGATTTCTGCCTAACTAGAAATGGTTTGATCTCGCTCCCTTTGACTGGGATTCAGTGCTTTGTCAAAGATAACATGGGGATTTATTACTTTGTTTTTAAGACTGCTCACACCATAGGGACTATCTCGAATGGCCACAAGATAAGCCACAGTGAGGCATTTATTAAGGAACTGTGTTCTCTGGATGACCAAGATGTCCTTTCTAAAATACACTGCTGTTGGTAGAGAAATTAGAGGCTACTTTCAAATGACCTTTATGTGCTGAAAGAAAAGAAAAGGAGTACTTGTGGCACCTTAGAGACTAACCAATTTATTTGAGCATGAGCTTTCGTGAGCTACAGCTCACTTCATCAGATGTATACCGTGGAAACTGCAGCAGACTTTATATATACACAGAGAATATGAAACAATACCTCCTCCCACCCCACTGTCCTGCTGGTAATAGCTTATCTAAAGTGATCATCAGGTGGGCCATTTCCAGCACAAATCCAGGTTTTCTCACCCTCCACCCCCCCACACAAATTCACTCTCCTGCTGGTGCTAGCCCATCCAAAGTGACAACTCTTTACATAATCAAGTCGGGCTATTTCCTGCACAAATCCAGGTTTTCTCACATCCCCCCCACCCCCATACACACACAAACTCACTCTCCTGCTGGTAATAGCTCATCTAAACTGACCACTCTCCAAGTTTAAATCCAAGTTAAACCAGAACATCTGGGGGGGGGGGGGGGGGTTGTGCTGGAAATGGCCCACCTGATGATCACTTTAGATAAGCTATTACCAGCAGGACAGTGGGGTGGGAGGAGGTATTGTTTCATATTCTCTGTGTATATATAAAGTCTGCTACAGTTTCCACGGTATGTATCTGATGAAGTGAGCTGTAGCTCACGAAAGCTCATGCTCAAATAAATTGGTTAGTCTCTAAGGTGCCACAAGTCCTCCTTTTCTTTTTGCGAATACAGACTAACACGGCTGTTACTCTGAAACCTTTATGTGCTGGTGACTCCTGGCTAGTTAGTTCCCATATTTGCGGAAACCTGTTCGGATCCTGCACAGTCTGTTCCCACCTTTTAGACAGCTCATCTCTCTTGTTCTTCAGCACAGTGGAGTTGAGCTTTTTAAGGAGATATCAGCAGTTATAAAGTGACACACAAACACCCCCCCCACCATCATTTTGCACTGCTGATGGATAAAATATTTTGGATTGACATGGGGTTCAGGGTACGATCCAGACCAATAACTGGTGATGTCACCACTGGCCATGCAACCCTGCATGCCTTACAAAGTTTTGCGGCTGTAGCTCCCATCCTGGGATGCTGGCAGCCAGCCTACAAGCATGCCAGTCATACCTTGAGTGTCTGGGCATTAGTCTGAGGGGATGTCCAGTGGCAGCAGCAGAGTTCCGGTGGCCAGCCTTCCTCCGAGCCCAGGGGTGGGCAAACTTTTTGGCCCGAGGGCCACATCGGGGTGCAAAACTGCATGGAGGGCTGGGTAGGGAAGGTTGTACCCCGAAACAGCCTGGCCCCTGCCCCCTATCCACCCCTCCCACTTCCCGCTCCCTGACTGCCCCCCTCAGAAACTCTGACCCATCCAACACCCCCCCCTGCTCCTCGTCCCCTAACCTCCTCCTCCCAGCATCCCCCGCCCATAACTGTCCCCCCGGGACCTCACCACCACCCCCTGACAAGCCCCCCGGGTCTCCCAGACCTATCCAACCCCTCTATCCACACCCCCGCCCCTGACAGGCCCCCCGGGTCTCCCACGCCCTATCCAGCCCCCACTGTTACCCGACCCCTGACCGCCCTGCTCCAGAACCTCCGCCCCATCCAACCGCCCCCTGCTCACTGTCCCCTGACTGCCCCCCCGGGACCACCTACCCAATCTCGCCGCCGGCCCCTTACTATGCCACTCAGAGCAGCAGGAGCTCGCAGCCCCACTGCCCTGACGGAGCCAGCCATGCTGCCCACGCAGCAGCGTAATTGCAGGGGAGGGGGAACAGCAGGGGAGGGTCCTCCCTAGTCAGGAGCTCAGAGGCCGGGTATGACGGTCCCGCGGGCCAGATGTGGCCCGCGGGCCGTAGTTTGCCCACCTCTGTCCTAGCCGCTGGAGAGACTGATGTCAGTGTCTCCTTGCTCGTAGAAAATCCAAACTTCTCCAAAGTACACACTCTAGCTAATCTTTTTATAAGTAACTCAAAAGAAAGCATAACTCAGAGTAACTTCAGATAAGCTAAAAATTTCTCTAGCAACAGCAAAGAACTCATAATTTGTACTTATTGGAAAAGCAGCTCTAACAAGAAACTTACAAACACAGGCACCCAGACCAAGCTGAGCTATCTTTGTTAGTAACACTGCAGATGTGTAGATGTTTTTGTCTGCCTAAGCAAGGCCAAATTCTTTCTCTCTACATGGTGTGTCCTCACTTCCAGCTTATGGTGGCTAAGTGCATAAGATGGCTGCGGGGTGTGTCCCGTGCAGGTCTCTGGTAACCCTAGCAGCCTGTCCACAGCCCCTCAGTTCCACCGGTCTTGGTTATAACCAATCAGGTGATCCCAACACATTCCCAGTCCCAGATTTTCTCTGCATGGTCTCTTCAATGTCCAGCCCTCTCCTGGACTGTTCAGAGAAATAATGAGGTTTGTTTGTTCCTTTAAAGAGACAAAAGCACATCGCAGCTTATTAACTTAACTGGGGTAAATAACCCAGCACTGAGTTAGTCTGTAGTAAAAATAAAACAAATTTTATGAACAAGGCATAGGATAGGTGATGCCAAGTAAGGGGAATAAAGTTAGAAAGGGTTACAAGCAAATAAAAGAGAAAACATGCATCTAAAACTTAATCTAGCAAGGTACAGGCTTTATTCTGGATGGCTTTTCACACCAGTCACTCTCCTTCCCAGCCTTGGCTGACTTTCTCTCAGTCAGGACCTTCCATATAGAAGTACAAGGTTCTGGCTTCCTTTGTCTTCCTAGGTGCAAGTTCTTAGCCTAAGCAGGCTTCTCGCCTGTATTCAGGTACCAGAGACTTCATGTCCCCCTTCCTCCTCCCTCCCCCTGTGGTTAAGGGACCCATCTTTCTCAGCTTGCAAAAGCTCAGTTCCCTTGTGGTTGTCTAATGATAGAAGCCAAAGATTGCTTCTGTCCTTGCTTATATATTCCTAAATTCAGTGACTTGGTTTCAAGAGGCAGGATGGCCTCACACTGTTTCTCCCTTCTTGGGGGCTTCCCATCCCCTTATATGTAAATGGGGCTTCCATTGTTTTGATTCCACCATGCTTAATTTACCTAGGACACAGGTAAATAAGTACCCCACCCAGACAGGAGAGAAGCCAGCAGTTTCTCCCTGCTTGGCCACGGGCTTTAAAGCACAATATCATTAAGTATCCCTGTTTCCTCATATAGCATTAATACAGACATTTCACAAGGATGTTACTCACCAGCATGTCATTAACTTTCAGAAAAGACCTCTCTTGGGGCAGTTTGTCCTGGGATATTGCTAGGGAGAACATAAAACCCAAGGATCTGCTCCAGAATGGAATTCTTCTAGAGCATCCAACTCTGGTTTAGTACTGATCCAGGCGTATCCAAGCCCCACAGATGCACTGTCCATTCAGCTGCTAAGGCTTGCTCTACACTACAAAGTTAGAATGACATTATCTGCCTTGCACTGACCTGGTTATGCATGAGTCTACACTTAAATTTGTCCCCCACTGATGTAAATGCCCTGGTAAGGTGATGCAGTAACACCAGCTCCCTGAGTGGCTTTGAGCCTGGTCGATGTCCTGAGGTTGATGCAGCGTGAGCGTAGACGCTGCTTTACTCATGTTGACCTTAACAGTCCTCCAGCATCTGTCCCACAACACCTGACGCTGCTGGAGTGATGGCACACAGCGTAGCCGAGCTGTGTGCGTGATGCAACGTCGCCTGGGTCTGCCAGGGCTTTCTGAATCTGCACAGAGGACGCAGGCCCGTGGCACGTTGCCCTTTCAACAGCTCCCTTGCTGGTCTTGGCTTTGCAGATCGGGGATCGGAATGGTGAGCTGACGGCTCGAATGAACGTAGCCCAGCTGAAGTCAGCCCTTGGCGATGAGGATGGGGATGCAACCCGTCATTCCGCTGGCTACGAAGCGCAAGGTAAGTCTCAAGAACTGTAGTCTCTTTGGGTACGTCTACACTGCAGCTGGGAGCGTGCTCTCCGCCCCAGCAGACAGACTCACACTAGTGCCACTTGAGCTAGTACCCTAAAAGTAGCAGTGTGGACATCGCGGCACTGACTAGCCGCCCAAGCCCGCCTGACCCCTTGGGGGAGGTCCAAGTTCAGGCGGCAAGTCCGAGTCACTGCTGATGCCGTAACATCCACCGTGCTTTTAGCACGCTAGCTGGAGAGGAGCTAGGGCAAGTCTGTCTACCCCGGCGGGGAGACTCACTCTCCGTTACATTGTACCTATACTCCCTTACTTCCCCACAGTGCCCTTTTCTTGAAATAAGGCAGGTTGGGGTTTCTGATCTCTTGCTCTGTTCACGTGTCTTTGGAGCTGCTAGTTTTCTTGCACGTAGTTGGTTTAAAATGTAAAGCAAAGTTAAAACAATAGGAGTCATAAGTGTTGCTGTTGGTCCTCTAAGTCTGGTATCCAGCCTCTGGCAATAGTCAGTATTTCTGGACAAGGTGAAAGCCTCCCCAACAATGCATCTAGACACAAGCAATGGGGAAAGGCCCTGGCCCTTGCAGTGATTGTCTTGCATCCAGAAGTGTGTGGGAGCCGCCTCTTAAGTGGAAAGTTTTTTTTGCAGTATTTGACTGTCTGACCTCCTGCAGCAGTGAGTTCCACAGGTTGTGACTACCCTCCGTGTGAAGAGGCATTTCCTCAGACTCATTCTGAGCTGACCAGCTGAAGGCAAAACGCTGCTCATCACCATTGTCTTTGTTGTTGCTAAGTGCTGACAGCGCTCTTGGTGATTTATAAACATATGGATAGACATATGTCCCTGCCTGCTGGGGTCTGAAGGACACCTGACTCAGACAGAACAGTTCAGACGCAGTACTTCAGATGACTGCAAAAGCCGGAGGTGATGCAGAGATCTCTGTTTATGTGGTTGCTGAGAGATGGGAACCTGGGAGAAGTGCGGGCTTCCTGGAGGAGGAGGGAGATTGTTTGGCGCACGTGAAGAGGGAGGTATTTCCAGGTGTCAAGAGCAACGCAGGAGAAGGTGCGAAAGCTGGAGCGGGAGAAGGATGCAAAGAGGATGGTGCGAGTGCTATAGGGCATGGCTGCATTAAATGTTCCATAGATGGAGGGAGGCCCAAGACAATTGTTGGGAACAAAGGGGGTTTTGTTGTTTGTCACCAGGAAAAGACTGGGGCCTGATTCTCCCCTTCCTTGCCTCTTGCGGAATCGTTTTCCACTGTGCCACATGGGCGGGAAGTCGTGCCAGTGGTGTGAGTGCGTGCAGAGTCCGGATTTGGCGCCATGCTCTGCACTGGTGTGTACATGAGCCAAGGTGCAGGGTGGTGGAGAACTGGGCTCCAGGGAGCAGAGAGATGCAGATTAACAGCATCGCTATGAATTCTGAACGAAATCTTCTTGTGACGGGCAACGAACCCTCTACTTCCTCTCCGGCAACAAACACTCTGCTGAGCTCCCGACGCGCCCTCTGACTGCTCTGGGTGACAGAGCAAGTTTCCAAAGGGTGGTCACTGTTTGGCTGTCTGGCCACTCGTGGGCGCCTGGGAAAGGAGCCTCCAACAAGCCCTTGCATTGACCTGCAGTGAGTGACATGCTTCAACATTTCAGGGCCTCACTCATCCCTGAAAGCTGTACAGGCATTTCCCTGTTTCCCAAGAGAAAAGGTGAGATGTTGCATGACTTTGTTGCAGGGGACAAAAGGGCTTTGATTTCACCTCCGGCCCAGGATGTAACCAAGCAGAGCCCTGCACATCCCTTGCTGATTTGGGGGTGGGGTAGATCGAGGGAGGAGAGGTGTGTGTAGAAAGGCAATTCCATTTCATGGAGGATTTTGATGTTTCAAATTTGCTTTCATTCCAATTAGGAATATAAACAGAAAAATGTAAAATTCTCTGTAAAAGGGGAAGCCCTGGGGTCTGAGATCATGGACCTGGAAATGACTCCGGGGCACACTCTGCCTGGCTGCTTGGCCTGTGGCCACAGGACCTGGAAGTCCCTGCCCCTGGGACTGCAGACTCTGGAATCCTGGCTTCCCTGTAGCCTGGCAGGTGGGTTGCTGAAAGCCAGACAGAGGAACTGGCAGGACACCGGGCAGGTTTTGAAAGCCTGCCTGGCTTTCCTGAGACACTATCAAAATCAAACGGTCTCTGTGGAAGGTTTTGGTTTCGACGAACTGGGAAATGCGGATGAAAACCTGTTTGGTGCAACTTGTTCTAACCAGCTCTCGTCACCTCTGCTTCGGGGTTTCTATTCTTTGGAAGTGGGGCAGACACAACTTAGCACGCTGGCAATGGGATGTCTGACCCCACCCCCCCCATGGCCTGTGTTCATAGCCAGATTCTGTATCTCACCGTCTCACTGTTCCCAGGCCCCTGTGGGTGAGGGGGAAAACACTGCATGTCACCAAACGGTGCCCTGCAATTCTTGGCTGGAAGGATGGCGCTTGCAGTGTGCGTGTTTTTGGAGACCACAATGAAAACGGGCCCTCTGCATGCCAAAAACTAGTGTCAAAGTACCCCCAGAATAATTTATATCTAGCAATGCTGAATACATGGCATCTCTTACACCAATATCCTTCATGCATCAAACAGACCTTGTTTCTCCCCATACATGCAGTAACGTCTGGGGGCGGGGCTGTTGGTTAATTAAATATGACCTCATAAGGGCTGACACTTTTCTCTCGCGTTGATTATTTTGTTATTTGCAACAGATTGAAAGAGGATCGCACAGCGGTGTGAGTGTGTTTCTTAAATGAAATTAGCCATCACTGTTTGCGTAGGGTGTTGATTTTGAAGGTGGAGCCTGGAGCTGAAATACCAGATGCCTTTCCAGAGGATTCACAGCACCCGAGCTGCAAACGCTTTCGTCCAGGCTCAGGCCCTGTGCCGCATGGGAGCGGAGCTGAGCGTGCTCAAAGCTAGTTTGGAATGCTGCAGCCGTACCAACCAGGCCATTGGCCTCATTTTGCAAAGCCGTCCTTTCACGTCTCTGTTCGTCAATTAATTAGCTCGTGTCCTCCGTTGTTTGCAGCACCTCATTAGAAGCTTCCTCCCTTTGGCAGATGTTTTTGTTTTGAATGGAGGTGGGAATTAACCTAGAAGTTTGAATTTGCTTCCTAGTTTTTTGGTTCCACGACAGTGTTGAATGTGGCTGAAAAGAGCCTGTGTGCCCATCTGAGACGCAATGTTTAGCCTCACAGCAGACCCAGCAGGGCAAGATGCCCCCATGTGGCGTGGCCAAGTTGCCTCAGTCCTGACCTAGTCTGTCTTCTAGTGTGATGGGGCTGGGTGTGTTTGATAATCCCAGCTGGTGGGCAGGCAGCCAGCTGTGACGGCTCCCACTGTATATATAACAGGGCTTGTCTATGTGGGGAAATTGACAGGCAGAACTGCACAGTGGCTGCTGGTTATTTGGAATCCCGATAAAGACCACTTTCGGTCATTAGCGACGCTTGCCGAAGATCCCATCCCACTCGCTTTAACGTTAATGGGATTTGGATACTGGCAGCTGCCATGCAGCTTATTGGTAACCATTTGACATGCCAGTAGCTCCTGCTTCCCGTGGCAAGCCCTGGCCACAGGCAGGTTTGCAGGGCTGCAGCCAGGGAAGGAAGTGCTGTGATGTGCTGAGCCTGGTGCCAGGACAGAGTGCAGCCAGGAGAGGGCAAGGAGAGGACCCATACAACCCCCTGAATCCCCAGGACTCCCCTCCCCACTGCCACCTTCCTTGCCCACAGCCTTCCCTGCAGCGCTGGATGCCAGCCAGGGCTCCCCTGTTACGTCCTGTGCAGGCAGCGGGTCCCCGTGGGCCGCCCCACGCTGCTGTCTCAGGCACGGGCCTTTGGCTTACTGGAAACTTTTGGATAATAGCAGCATCTTGCTAGCAACCGAGAGGTTGCTAATAAGCTGCACTTGTATAATCACACTGCTGTGGCTCTGCCAGCCTAGCTCCCTGGGCCGACGGCTGTTCTGGAATAAGAGCGACCTCTTTTTTCCATGTTGCATTGGAAGCAGTTTAAGCAATGTGGGGGGAAAAAGTCACTTTATTCCAAAATTGCGTCCACATGGAGAGATGTATAATTAGAGCTCTGGAGTTCAGCTGATCCGTTTCCCCATCTAGACAGGATGATCGGAGCTGGGGCCTCAGGTACTTAGTGCTGTTCACTCCTCCTCCCTCCAGACCTGCCTCCCTGATACGACTCCCCCACATGCTGGTTCCCAAGTGAACGCAGGACTGGAGCTGAGCTGAGTCTGGAGGAAGACTGCGCTTCCCACCAGGGAGAGGCAGATTGGGTGGCTTGCTCCCCCTCCCCGCATCCAGAAACTGTCCCACACCCTGGCACCATTCCCCTAGCTCCCCAGTCCTCAAGGTCTCAAACCCCTGGAGATTGGCCAGTGCTGGAAGGGTTAAGCCTTTTGCAGGGCTAAAGAGAGAGGGGGAAGGGGAAGGTTGATAACTGAAACTAATATGCAAGGGAGTGAACTCGGGAGGGGCAGCAAATCTTAGGCCCATCAACCTTGCCATTGTCCCCTCCAAGCCCAAGGCTGGTGTTGTGCCGGGTTAGCATCCAAAGCCGGATTTCGTTTTCCCCTTTAATCTGAGCGCGTTTAGGACTGACTGAAAGCCATGCCGGTCTACGTGCCTAATTATCAGAGAACGGGAGAGTGGCTGCGTTAATCAGACGGCACTGTTTGTTTGAGGCTTTTATAGGTTATAATGACCTCATTCATCAACGGTGCCACGGATCGGGTTTCCAGGGTCAGGTTTGTTCCAAAGAGAAGGACAAAATGTTCTTTAAAAAAAAAAACTAAAAAAAAAACCACTTAATAAAAAAGTGACAGACTGAGGGGAGTGCGGGAGTGAGGGGGAATGAAAGGTGGGCCAGTGGCAAAGATCGGAGCTTTCCTTAACGAACTATGGCCTGCCAAGGAGGGACTTCACCGCACTTCT